GGGGGTTGACGTCAATTTTGAATTTTTAAATATTTTTTTTTAGAAATTTTGTTTTCATTTCGCATTTTTAAAAGACTTGTGAAAATTTTTTTTAGTTATGACGGGGAGTGGGGAGGAGGGGGGTGGAGTTACAAGTCGTAAATAAACCGCGACGTCGCTATTGTACGACCACTTCCTACCGGATGTTTCAAGGCTACAATCTGTATATCAAGAAGACCTACCCCCCCCCCCCCCCCGCCCCATCCTAACTGGTGTCTAAAATAAGAACGATAATTTTATTTCACATTCGCGGTTTAAGGCTGTGTTCTGGTTTAAGTTAAGATTCGAATAAGAATAGGTGTTTAGGCAAGGTTTAGAGTGTAAGGGGTCGTATCGAGGATTGTTGCGCATCGCTAAACAGGAAATCTCCTTAACCCATCCCCCCCCCCCCCCCCAACCCCTCTATCTCCTCAGTGGTTACCGGGAATTCAAGCGGAAAATATCGTGGAAAAATTATTTTCAAAGAAAACGTAAATCGTTGTTTATTTTATGATAAATCTTTTTGAAAAAAACACTGTTTTCAACACTATGTGTACGAAAACGTGAAGTCTACCTAAAGAAGTAGAAATACTTTAGACGATATTAACAGCTCCCCCCACCCCCAAATACCCCGTCGTCTTTCACTTATTGGACCTGGGATCTGGATAAAATGCCGACATTGACAAAAGGCCGATATTGACAAAAGGCCGATAGGAAAAAAAGGCCGTCATCTAAAAGGCCGACTTCCCATTTTCTACTAGTCATTGGTAGTAGCTTTTTTTGTTTTTTCGTTCTTAATTTTTGTTAAAAATTAGGTGTTCGGCGTGAAAAGATGTAAAATAGACATTACGTCTTAGCCACTGGGTTTTAATAGACCAGGAAGTGATTTACACTGTGACACTATACACAGCGTGCTTGTGGCTGGTAGCTTATGGCCTATTTTAAATTAGAACAAAAAAAAAACAGACAAGTGTTCAAATGGCGTCGCTATAGGTGGAGCTAGTGGGGGCAGTGCTTTTCTCTCCGGGAAAGTTGATGCACCCCTCATCCAGAGCACGCCCACTGCCAACTCCCCCCCCCCCCCCCACCCACCCAATCCTTTTCCCTACACAGAGTAAGGAAAAGGATTGGGTAATAAAAAACTAATTAAAAAATCAAATGTATTATATAGAAAATATATAGCTTAAAGATTCCACCACTGGCAATTTCACCCCCCCCCCCCCCTCTCGCAATCGAAGAAAAATGTCTGAAAGAAACCCAGAACGGAAGTTAAACGCGCGGGAAAAATTGGAGGGAAGATTCGAGATTCAGACTGTGTAAGTTATTTTAAACGTCACTTTACCTGTCTAGATTTTTTTAAAGATTCACATGCTTGACTAGCTTCAAGACGTGCCAGAACGCAGACCGTTACAGTTTTTGATTTTCTTATTTCATATAACGGTTATAACCATACAATTTTTTCTAATGATTGAAAACGGTTGGCGAATTATTTCAACGATGTTATTAGTCGTGCATAGACGCGCGGTATTCGCGTGATTAACGTGGCGAGTGGGGAGGATTTTAGTTGACAGCCCGTGTGTAAGGGGGTCGTTGAGGGTGTGAATGGCAAGATCTATACGTCGATACGGTCGACTTTGTGACTTAAGTCCGGATCGGTGGTTTTACGCTGATTGAACTATCACGATACGGCTGGCGGGTTCCAGACGTCTGAAGACACGTTTGTTGTTCGTCTGCTCCAACGCGTGTTGAGAGTTTAAAATACTAAAGGGGGGAGGGGGGTGATTTTAGTCAGCGGTTCTTAATATTTTCGGAGATACCGAACACTAATAGTTTCATATGCGCATTCAGCGAACTCTTCTTAATAGTTCTATCGTACGCACTGACAGTGGCGTAGCGAGGTCGGGTGTCACCCGGTGCGGCACTTAATGGTGTCACCCCCCCCCCCCCCGAGGCGTAGCGACTCTTCCTGGGGACAAACTTTCAATTTTCTATTTGCACCTTTGCACCCCCCCCCCTTCAAACTTTCGATTTGCACCCCCACCCTGGAACTTTCGATTTGCACCCCCCCCCCCCCCCCTCGAGGCAAACTACTATGACGAGTGCACATTTTATACAAGGGAAACAACTCTAAAAATACTGCTAAAAAAACAAAAAAAAAGTCTTGTATAAACAATAAATACAAAATAAAAATAGTCGCGTTATTTATAATTGATATAGCTATTTGCAATTTTTTTTATAAAATAATCTGTGTTTGTGTTACAAGTTTGAAAAATATAATCTATTCTTATAAACCGAAAACTGTAACATAATTTCAAAATTAGTTTATTATTACCGGGGTTAGTGACAATTTAAAACAAGGCATAGTAATTTCTATAATTCAAATTTTGGATCCCTTGCTTAAAACTCAAGGGACAATACGAAAACCGTCACTAAGATGAGTAGTCTACTAGGTCAGGGAACCTATTGAGACGGAAGAGCCGAAATTTACAATTTACAAAATTTCCTTGTGTTTTAAGAAGAGCGACATTTCATTTTTTTTCCAATATTTGGTATTTGATTAGGATTATGTAAAGAAATTTGATTTGTTATTTAAAATAAATAGCTTTAAATATGAAATAATATTTATTCATATAAAAACATACACATGTTTCGCCAGAGTAATAAAATTAGTAATCAGGTAATATAACTATATAACTATATAACTTAAGAAGCTGTTAACATTTTTTTCGGCCTTTACCGACATCACCGGCTCAGAAGGTGACTCCCATTAGCCAGGAAGGCATCAACACGGCGAAGTCCGACTAACTGGCTTGGATATCGGTTTGATTGCCGTGTATCGGTCACTTCTGTCCTATGGTTCTCACCAGGCTTATCTTCCACCCTACTAAACGCAGGGTAAATACCCCACCTGTCCAGTACCCTGCTCGACCGTTGGAAGCTAATAACTAAAACACTACGTCACTCAGGTCAAACTAATAATTACTCACAGATAGGGAAATGCATTCTGAATAAAATAACATTCCCAATTTAACGATATTCGAAAAAGTCGGCACTTGGCAGTGGCAAGCATGGAATTATTGCCATGTTGTTGCCCATAGCACGGCTTTGGGCTGGGCCTGGTGCCGAAGCGGCAATTAGCTGTCCATATACTTTTTACTGCACCTATTCTCACTGTTCTCTGATAGCGTTTCTTGACAGTGTTTTGGATTTTGAAAATGAAATACTATAACTATGAATGTTTGTGCAAGGAGATGGAGAGCCGCATTTTGACATCAAAAGAGCCGCATGCGGCTCGCGAGCCGCAGGTTGCCGAACCCTGTACTAGGTCAATGGTCCGGCAACTTTTTCAACTAAAGGTTGCCGACACATACATTACTCGTCAAAACTCGTATTTTAGTAATGCTCGTATTTTAGTATTTTAGTTTTTCCTAAATAATATGAAACAGATTTGCGTTACTATCATTAAAGTGAAAAAAAAAAAAATACTATTTCTACTGTCTTCGTCAGGTGATAATATAATGAATTGAAACCATACACTGATCTTGTTCGAAACGTATTGTTTTGTTGGTTCGCGAGTTGTTGTTTTTGTTTTTTACGTTATCTAAGTAATTTTACTAGCTTGAGACGCATATGGCTTTTCACTCGAAAGTCTGGAGTTCGAATCGGGCCCAAGTCAGTAGAACGTCTCTGAATCCTACCAGCTTTGATAGGTTCCAAATTCAAGTTACGGAAATTAAAACGCGTCTGGGCAAAATGCTGAACACACTATCCCTTCAAACGCTACTTCATCTGCCCAAAAGATCGCTAGGTCTAAAGAGAATTCTTTACCTTACATTTACTCATTAGTCGCAACAACAAATAAATAACCCAAACCCGATATCAGCCTCGTTCTACTAAACACCGGAAATGCTGGTCGCGTATTTCCGGAAGAAATCGTCTCAGTTGTGTTGCTGAGGGTGCTTTGACTGACTCGACTCCGGTCCATTGATTCAAACCAGTGAGTTATTTGACGGTGTCTCCCATTGACACTTCCCGTCCTTAGACGGCCAAAGTTCTTGTTTACTTTGTACTTTAAAAAAATCAATGTAGACGGAAACACGTTTTTTTTTCAGGGTTTTTAACACCTTTGAATAGGTTGTCAAAAAAACAAATAAACATAAATAATTTGTATTTACAATTTTTTAAAGTAACGTAGCTATGCTAGGAAATGCGATGTGGAAGGGTGTGGTATGGTTGATATTTCTTAAGGGGGTCAACTTACTTCCAAAATACTTTTTAATAACTATTTTACTGATAGAAAACCTTGAGTTTGAGCAGATAGATTTAAATATACCTAATAAATTAAATTTAAAAAAAACTAAATTTAAATTCTCACCCTTTTTAGTCATGTTTAGGGGCCTACCTAGTACATACATGACCCCACTGAAATTGATTTTGTTTTAAAACACTTCAGCAGCTAGGAACTTCAATCTTTTTATTTAGATTACTGAATGGCTATTTAAAACAATAACGATAAGACGATAGGGTCAGCGCAGGGTATGTGATGCTCAATGAGCACATAAGTCACAACCGTTTACAAATAACTTTTACCTCAAATGCCAGAGCAGGGCCTGGCCGGAACGGCTAGCGGTTAATATTTCTTGAAAAGGGGTTTTTTAGATAAAGTGCTTGCTTCTAAAAAGAATTTACAGAGGTATCATCTCTGAGGAATTAAGTATTTACGCACATTTGAATATTCTACGCTGTGTTATCGTGGTTTTTGTGGCAAGTTTCGCTTTGACCAACTTTTACTTTTCTAAACAAATGCTGTCTTATCCTCTTGTGGCCTGTTCTAAGTCTGAAAATTATGTGTTGTTCCTGAAACACCCATATGAATCACAGCGACGTCCGTTGTGAGTTGGTTTAACGTTGCGTAAATGGTAAACGCTGGAGTTTGTACACTACACAAAGAAATGTATGAGGGAAGTAAGAGATAATCATACCTTTATTGTGATGTACATAACAGTATTGTTTGCCTCCCCTTACGGCTTATTAACCAATATCTCTCCACTATACAATTGTAGGAGTTGCTTCCCCTGCTTCATCCCGCTTCTCTCCTTATCTTTCACGATACCGCTGTCGACAAAGGAATTATTTCGCTATTTTCTTTAAGCCTAAAATGATTTAAGACGCTATTATGTTTTATCCCCCACACAAAAACACGTACATATACATGCAAATACACACACACACACGTGTACATAAGCACACGCATGCAGTAACTTCAAGTATTTTCTTCAGGCACTTCACGGGGGGGGGGGGGATACCCCCACCACCTTCACCCCGGTTGAAAATAGAAAAAATAAGAAAAATATATTATTACTATAGAAAATATATAAACCATAGCCCCCCCCCCCCCACACACACACACGCACACACGAAGTCTCAAGTGCCCCCCTTTCCCCCACCCACCCTGAAGAAAAATGTCTGTAACATATCCTGTGCACATGCATAGTTTTTTGCGTCTATTCCTATCCATTAGGAGTTTAGCGTTTTTACTAATGTGTTACAGAAAAGCACTCTATGACATACATAGAAGGCACGAACGCCCCATTAGAATACCCGAAACTATACCAACGTTTTGTCTTTTTTATGTTAGAATATTTTTTTAATTATGCAATACTATGTAGGCCTGTTCAAGACTGCCTTCATTGTGACAGAATAGCTACACGGTTTAAAAATGCTAATCGAAAATCTAGGTGAAACGAAGCGAAGTAAACTGAACAAAAATAAAACGCATTGAATGACTTTTGATCTTTTGTTATGTAAATACACACACTCGGCCTGTGTTAACGTTTGTCATGTTATTCAGAGACTATCTTTTTTTTATGTTTTACAAATTCAATGGCAAGCCTAGACATAATGTTGGTTTGTGCAAATACCGGAAACTTGCTTATCAATGTATAAATAACTAAAAAAAAAAGTTTTAAAAGAATTCAAATTATTATTTTATTAGTCTTAGCGTGTGGACGTCTTCTTGCACAAATTAAATTAAACCCAAAGCAGGTAGAATCAGTAGCTTACCGAGCTTAATCATTGTTTATCGAATATATTTTTTTTACTAACAGTTACGATAACAGTAGTTATGTCGCGAACAAACTATTTATAGCGACATTAAATACAATCTACTGTAGGTTTTGTTATTGAATAAAACAAAAACAAAAAATGTACTATATACATTATTGAGCGTCTCACATCAACCGATTTAAAGATTAATCAGCCAATGAGTTACTAAGCTGTATTGAAACACTATTAACTGAAATATTTTAGGCAGACCTAAGGACAGAGAACTAGAATGCTAAAGTCTCGAGTTCGAATCCGGGTTCAGTAGAACGTCCTTGAGTCGAGCCAGGAGTGGTGTGTGCCTCTCAAGTTAGGGAAAGTAAAGGTGGCTGGATAAAGTGCTGACCACACTATACATTCATATACCGAAGTCACAGAAACAGGTGAACTCTACTTCACTTGCCACATGGACAGTCAGGTATAAAAAGAGAACTTCACTGTAACAATCCCGGAACATTCGCAAGAGCCCGGTAAGGTTCTACTCCTAAGCTACGCAAAATACAATTTATAAATTCGTATTTCTAAAAATCAACCTGTTCTAGGAAATGTGCCAAGATTAACATTTCGCTTCAGCGGCAGACTGTTTTGTTTGTTGTTTTTTTTTCCAAAAAGAAAAAAAAACTATGATTTAATTATTTTTTTCAAGAAAAGGTTGAAAACAAATGCGTTTCACTTTTTTTTTTCGAATAAGCAGTGTTCAGTAAAAAGTATTCTATTTTGACATGTAATTTCCTACCACAATGACGGCACTGAATGGCTGAATAGGTTTTTTTTTCTCTTCCCCAACCCGAGTCAAAATGACAATAACCTTGCACAGCGCAATTCATTGTGTCAAATTACAACAACTGGACAGAAAATTACTAGATAGGAATTGAAGGAGGAAATGGGGGTGGGAGGAGGAGACGTAAACTGTCTCCAAAAAAAAATTGTAGTTGAACGTATGAACTTTGGTCTGTTAAAATTAATTTCATGTTCAGTCTTGTAAAGGTTAAACTGTGGTTTCAGAGAAGGGGAAATTGCCATATGTGTGTATATATATATATATATATATATATATATATATATATATATATATATATATATATATATATATATATATATATATATATATATATATATATATATATATACACATATATATATATACACATATATATATATATATATGTGTGTGTGTGTATATATATATATACGGCCTATATTTATATGGCCTATATATATATCTATATGTCCTCTCTATATATATATATAAATATATGGCCTATATATATATATATATATATATATATATATATATATATATATATATATATATATATATATATATATATATATTTATATATTTATATATATAAGTTACTTCCCTTTAATGAAAAATAAATCCTTAAGAAGAGAGAATTAACATTTTATTACTTTGTTTTTGGTGTTAAGAAAAAAAAAATAATTACACAATTAGCGGGGATTGATTAAGTGCAATGTCGTTAGGTATTTTTAACACTGCCTTTTATTTATTCTATACACTGAACATACTGTTCAATAATAATTATTTTTTTTTTTAAATCAATAACATTTAATAAGCCAGGTCCTACAAATCATATACGTTTATTTCTTTCCATTTACGGATAAGCTTGGAGTATTATCATTTTTGTTCACTAAATTGAAACAGGCGCGTCCGCCGGCGCCCCTGCACGGTTTGATTTGGCACCCTGGGCTATCATGTGAGCGCTATGCTGCATAATTTTGTTTTAAACAGTGCGATAGACTATGGATAAGAAAGGTTACTATAGTCTTTAAGTGAATCAAATCCGGGCGTCCTCCGGCACCCCGACAGGGTGCTATTTGGCGCCCCGGGCCTTCCGGTGTACGCTATGGTATCTACGTTCGCGTGAGTTCAAAAGACTATAAATAAGTTATGCACTATAGGCGTTTACTAAGTTCAATCAGGCGGTGACGTCATGGTGCGTCCTCTGGCGCCCAGACAGGGTGCTTTTTGGGGTCCCGGGCCTCCCGTGTTCGGTTTCGCGCCTACGTTCATTAAAGTGAGTGCAAAAGACTATGAATAAGTTGGGGTACTATAGTCGTTTATTAAGTTGAAGTAGGCGATTCAGCCCCGTGAGCACTTTGCGTTTATATTCGCGTTAGTGTTTTCTTTGTGTTTAGGTTGGGTTTGCGTTAGTGGTTGCGTTTTGATTTGGTTCGTTTTTGTTCTTTCTTTTTTCGTTTTCGTTTGTGTTTTATTTTCATTGGGTTTGTGTTTGTATTTGTGTTTGAGGTTGGTTTTTCGTTTGGATTTGGTTTGTTTTCGTTTGTTTTTTCTTTTGTGTTTTTTTCTTTGGGTTTGTGGTTGGTTTTGCGTTTGTATTTGGTTTGTTTTCGTTTGCTTTTTCGTTTGTTTTTTTCTTTGGGTTTGTGTTTGTGGTTGGTTTTGTGTTTGGATTTGGTTTGTTTTCGTTTGCTTTTTTCTTTGTGTTCGTATTGGTGTTTGTGGTTGTGGTTGGTTTGTTGTAAGTTTTTGTTTTCGTTTGTATTTGTAATTGTGTTAGCGTTATGTTTGCGTTTTGTTGTTTTGGTTTTGGTTGGTTGTGGTTTGGGTGGGCAATGCCGGGTTTATGATGATTACTAAACACACAGGTGATGGTCTTTAACAGAAAGGTTTTTCACAGAAGCCAGAGCAGGGCCTGGCCGGGACGGCTAGTATATATATATATATATATATATATATATCAGTAAATCAATGACCATCCACACGTTTTAGCATACAGCTATATCAATAACAAATAATCTTCTTTCTTCTATTCTAAACAGATCAAGGCCGTTTATAATGTGGACACGCATTCAGTGTGTGATTTGTAATCGATAATGGTGGTCGGTTTTTTTCTCTCCGATAGAGTTTGTTTAGAAATATAAGTTAATTTAGGGAACGATTTGGGTGAAATAATTAATCACGACCAATGAGGCACTATGAGAAGTAAAATGATTTTTATAAAATCTGATTTAAAAAATCATTAAAATGTCCAACCATAACATCGTTTGCCATTTATTTTAATCATAGTAATTAATATATATATATATATATATATATATATATATATATATATATATATATATATATATATATATATATATATATAATATATAATATATAATATATATAGATAGATGCTAACACTAATCCATTCACAAATTATTAACAGCCGAAGAATTTTTTAAAATCGTGTAACATTTTAAACCACACACCGCCGCTAACACATTACCTTTACAAACACGAATAAATCCAGTAGTAATTATGCACTTCACGTAATGGCCCTAGGGTTAATTCCTCCTAATTATAGCCACGCTTAATTTATCATAGACACAGAACAAATAAAAATGCCAACACTCGAATCAGATTCGACAGCAGTTCTAACACAACACCATGAAGCAAACATTCACTTGAATCACGTGTTAATGCAAAACTCTTTCGGCAATTCTTTGGTTTAAATATAGTCATTCGATTTCCTGGAAAACCCGTGTAGGCAGTGGCGTATCCGTAGAGAGGTGTTTTACAATCAGGCTTGTCTTATTAAACACACACACACACACACATATATATATATATATATATATATATATATATATATATATATATATATATATATATATTGGATATATATATAGATATAGAGATATAGAGATATTAAGATATATTTTATTATATATATATATATATATATATATATATATATATATATATAAGTATACAGAAAATACATGTGAATGTATGTAGATGTTATAAGTATAACATGAATATATATATATATATATATATATATATATATATATATATATATATATATATATATATATATATATATATATATATATATATATATATATATACATATATATATATATATATATCTAATACTATAATGGGCTACGTTCGCACATCTCTCTCTCTCTCTCTCTGTCCGCAAAAAATTTTCGCCGGACATCACGTCAGAAACGGCAGCGATATATGGAGAACTTTATACGGACTTTTGTTGAAAATAATATGTTAGATGTTTTAAATGTATAACCACAATTTTATTTAAAGAAGAAAAATA